CCCCGCCCCCCACCAAATGCACCAGAATGGTGGGTTCCTGAGAGCAAAGAAGCATGTCTGGCTTGGTCTCTGCTCTGCCCCAGTGCCTGGAACATTGCCTGGAGGCTAGCAATCAAGTAGGAACTTGCTCTGGGGAAAAGAAGAAAGATTCACCAAAGAAAAGTTGTAGGTAAAAAGTAGCTGATGATAGGAAGGCAGTTAGGGTCAGTGTCAGGATATTAGAATTCAGGGTGCAGGCGGAGTGTGGAGGTGAGGCCTGAGCAGCCATGTGGCCCAAGGGCTTTGTTTACCAGGACTAGGACTCAAGCACCCAGAGCCTGGAGCTAGAAAGTGGAGTCAGACACAAAATTTACCAGTTCCATCACTACCCAGGTGTGTGACCCAGGCAATCACCTAACCCCACAGTTCCTCCATGTCTTCATTGTTAAAAGAGCTTATACTTTCTATAAGGAGAATATAAGAGTACTCTCTTCATAGGCTTGTGTCAGGATTAAATGACTCATGATGTAGAAAATGCCTAGTAGTACCTGGGACGTAGTTGGCTAAGCATTTGTACTATGCCTTAGAGAGGAATCACTGCAGCATCTGAGATACAGGATTATGGGACTGAGATTTGTATTTTAGAAAGATCATCAAGCTGGCATTGGGGAAGATGGACTGGGCCTGAGAAATTAGAGAAACAACTATGTAGGCAAAACACACCAAGGCCAGGCAGTGGCAGTGAGGACAATGCAAGAGTTATGAAGACAATGGGTTCAGTCCTCAGTTTGGGGAAGGAGGTGAGGCAAAGAGACAAGTAGGTCATGATTTCCGCATATGGGCCTGGGTGATTGGGTGGCTGGTGGTGCCATGCACCCATACAGGAAATGGGGGAGGTGGGCAGGTTTGGAGGCCTGTGGCAGGTTGACTTGGAGTGCTGTGGGGACTCCAGGTGGGGCTACTCGGCAAGATAACTCACCTCTCCCTAGACTGCAATACGACACTACATGCTAAGCGCTATGCAGTCAAACCTTGGTTCCTGAACGTCTCCCATCATGAATGATTCAGTTCTCGATCAAGTTGTTCAGGGAAAAAAAATGTCTCCATTTCGAACAGAACTTCAGGCCTCAACCTGACAACGCTTTGGTGCTGATACATCAGCATCACAAAAAGCACCTCTCAGGCCACAAAGGAGAGACTGTGAGTCCAGTTACCACTAAACCTCGAGTTAACAACATCTCAAGGATATTGTGCTGTGAATATTTTTGTGGTTCTTTTTGCTTTTGTTGCTGGTGAAATGGACAATTAGCAGAATTTTAAAACATAAAGAGGCCATCAAGAGTGCCTATGCTGCTAGGGTTGAAAGTGCTCACAAAACAAGGATCTCAGGCCACTGAAGAGGGAGAAAAACTGTTGATTTGGATAAACAGTTAGTTTTTTGGAAAAGCAGTTAGTCAGTGACAGCATTTTGGAGGCATTGATATGTGAAAAAACAAAGATGCTGCAAACTGACCACCTGAAAGATGCCCCAGGAACCAGTGCTGAAAGTGATTCGTTTAAGGCTAATTGGGGGTGTTCGATAAATTTAAGGAAACAGTGCTTGTTTATAGATTAAACAGTACATTAGACATGTACTGTATATTAGAAAGGTTAAGACAGGGAATTACAGTGGTGCCTTGGTTTTCCAACATCTCCGCTGACGAACATTTCGGGTATGAATGCTGTAAACCTGGAAAAACATGCTTCGGTTTTTGAACATGCCCCGGAAGTCGAACATGCCAAGAGGCTTCCGCTGAGGGTGAGATCCTGAGGCCTAACTGTCGGCTGTGGATCCCTCAGTTTTCCAACGTTTCAGAGCTGGAACGTTCTTCCGGAACAGAGTACATTCGAAAACCGAGGCACCACTGTATTTAGGGATCTAAAATGGATTAATTCAATTTACGTTATTTCTAATGGGGAAAAAAATCCATTTTTTAACAAATCACTTCTCAAAAGGCCTTCTGGAATGAATGAAGTTTGACAACTAAGGTTCCACTGTACGTATTGGTACTTAATGTTAGCGCTTAGTATTTGGTATTTATAATTTTTGCTTGTAAAGGAAACACTGTGAGAAACATTTTTGTCTACATCTGAGGGTTGGGTTTTTTGTTTGTTTTGTTTTTGAGATTTCTGTAAGTAAAATTACTGGAGCAAAGATATGTTACCTTTAGGAGGTTTTAATTCATCTTGCCAAATTGCTTTTCAAGAAGGTTGTACTAATATGTATTCTCACAATAACCTGGGATTCTTTAAAAACAGCCTTAATATTCTTTTATAAATACCACCCTCAAAATGGCCAGGGTATGGGGAACAGTTCTCTCGTGTGCTACCTATGGACATGACCCCCAATGTCAGCTCCATGTTTAAAAGTTCCTAGCTGCCTCTGTCCTAGAGAAATTCCTCAAATAAGTGCCTGTTATTAATTAGCACACTGTCAATACCACAACTCAAATTATATTCTTGAAACCATGGTAATATGTGAAATATAAACACTCCATGCATAAATACTCCCCTGAGGCTTAGGAAGGGAATAGAAACTCAGTGAATATAAAGCTCCACTTTACCAAACTACATTACTGTAGCAGTATTTTCCCCAAAAGAGGGGGTTTCTTGCAGCTTTCCTTACCATGATTTAGTGTACGCACTTGCATGGAAATCCCATTTCCTTTGAATCAATAAATGCGCTATGAGGGCACCACTCACTGGTCAAATACAATTATAACGCAGAATAAACTAAAATTTCTTTCTAATGCATATAAAATAGAAAAATCTATTTTCACTAAAGATAGAAATTTGGTTAGTTCTACAGGTGATTATCATGAACTGCTGACCACCTGGGTGCTTCAAATGGTTGTTACTGTATTTCTCACACTGACCACACACAGCTGACACTCCACAGAGCAACAGTACCGGGAGAAGTCTTTGGTATGTTTAGTATCCCGCTCTGTGAACACCTGCTTTGTGTTCAAGACTTAGCTACATAATACAGTTTTTAATATGTTGTCTTTTTCAGAGAATGCTTATAAAGGAAACATGGGTAGACTGTCCTTGCCCATGTGTTATATTGAATTGAACACTCGTTTTTTGTATTTTCTACGATCCACTCACCGGAGGCCACTTAACCAGGGGGCCTCCAGCACCAATCCTTTCCTCTTCTGTTCAGAGCATTAACCATCCATCAAAGTCTGAATGGAGACTCACACTTGCTTTTGGACAGCTTTCTTATAGTTAGTTCATAGTCATTGTTCTCAGGATGGAAATGTGTGCAGAGATTGGCCACATTTTTCAGTTCTGGCTATAATGGTTCTGGCTATAAAATTATGTAATTCATAATGTTTTAGATCCAGGGTGTACGGGGGAAGTGAGCTAGTCATTGTTTCTTTAAGTGTCTTTGTCAGAACTCTGACCTCTATTGGGGGGGGGGGCAGAATGTTTCCTCCTCAAACAAGTTTGGGACACCCCGAATCCTGTACATTCCTCCCCACGAATATTCACAATGAAACAGCAACTCTAAGTCAGCGTTTCCCAAACTTATCTGACCACGGAGTCTCCTCCTGTGTAACAGCCATTAACATCCTGCTATAGGAAATGAGTCCCGTCTTCTAGCGGAGCGCAGAAAATGAAGCCACTGGTGGAAGTAACAGCCAGTAATGACAGGACGAGAAGCCGCTGCGGGTTGACAGCCTCCCGAAGAATGGCTGCTTATTTGTATTGATAGCAATGGCTTCAAAACATTTCGAGGTGTTTTTTTTCCCCCCTCCTTGAAATTTAAAGAATCGTTTCTAAAGTTATTTAGGATCCTGGTTTATAAAGGCAGATGGGCAGTGTGTCACTCAGTCCTGCCGTTCAGTGGTGCTCCTCAGTCACACGCGCCCGAAATGTGCCCGAGCAGTACGCACGGTGCAAAGCAAAGGCTCCGGGTCCGAGGGCTGGCGGAGGGAGGGAGGGAGCCAGTGGCAAGGAAGCAACTCGATGTATAATTAGAAATTTCAATTCGGGATGCGAAGAAAATGAACTAGGTGCTGTCAGATTGAGCTTAAGTGTGCAATCGTTTCTTAAAAAATTGGCCCAGATTCAGAAGGGATCAATAGCAGCTGTTCTGCTGGCCGTCTCGGCACTTCGCTCCGACGCCAGCCTGAGCCACTGAACCCCACTCCTCCTCTTGTTCTTCTAGGCCGGTGAAGCAAAATGAGCGCCCAGTGAGCCGGCGCAGCCCGTCTCCCAGCCGTCCCCGACGCCCACCATGAGCCACTCGGAGGGGGCCGCGGAGGTGGAGGTGACCGACGAGGCGGCGGGCGGGGAGGTGAACGAGTCGGTGGAGGCGGATCTGGAGCGCCCCGAGGCGGACGAGGAGCAGCGGCGGCGG